GAGAGAGAGAGAGAGAGAGAGAGAGAGAGAGAGAGAGAGAGAGAGAGAGAGAGAGAGCAAGGATTTTAAAAAAGTTTATTAAAGTGAAACTAGGAGTGCAGATTTGAAGAAGTTGCCTCTACTTTTATTTCCCTCTCAACTCAGCACAGGTGTTTCCTAACTTGTGCTGCTATGCATGCTGATGAGGAGGAGGGTTAAATTAAGGTGAGGGATTGGGCCAAAGGCTGGCCAGCAAGCATTTAGGATCTTCGGCTTCATGTGTTAAGGCATGTATTTTAAAACCGAGCCCCCTCCCCCCGCCAAACCCTAGAATGAGGTTTTTTTCTGGCAAACGATTAACCAGTATACTGAAATAATTAAAGCTTTGTCCTTAAATAAAGCATCAGATCAACGAAACAAAAAGATAAAAATTGCACACACATATGCATGCGCGCACACACACACTCTCTGACACACACCGATACAAAAAACTAGCGGGTGAAGGGAGAAGGAAATTAAATAAAAGAAAACAAACAGAGTCCTAACAGGCCATTCTCCGAAAAGGAATCTAAATAAAAAGTCATATGATATCTGATAGTGCAGGACACGTCGCCAAGAACTGGAGCGGATTGCCTCCAGGAAGAAAGGGCCAGTGTATTCCAGCTCAAAGAGCTTTTCTTTCCTCCTCCTCTGTTTTTTTTCGCCTTTTCTCCTCGATTGTGAATGTGTTACTCTCAGGTCAGATCCATGAAGAATCCCAGAATGACAGCTATCACCTTTCACTGTACTCTTGGAGGCACAACTAGCTGATGGGAGCTGCCTAAGTTGGGATCAAGAGGAGATACTGCAGCTTTCACTAAGAGCTTCTGCTCTGAGTCCCTCTGCCTCTTTCAAAAACCCTCTTGGTGACATCAAAAACGAGAGAGAGGGAGAGAGAGAGAGAGAGAGAGAGAGAGAGAGAGAAAGAGAGAGAGAGAGAAGTGAGAAATGCAGGCACAACCTCTGTAGCCATAAAAGAGTTTGGGATGGGGGGATTAGAAAAACAAGCAAAAAGAAAAAAACCCTAAAATCTCTTGCCTTCATTATAAAACTTTTTAAAGACCAAGTCTCTTTTATTTTGACAACTTTCTTTTTTTAAAGGTCATTTGCTCCTTAAACATTATTAAAAACATTAAAAATTTGACAAAATTATAGAAATCTAAAGGTAATTCAATAATTTTCCTCACTAAAACATGTAACTGTAACAAGTGAGTTACCCCAGATAATTTTGGATTTGCCCAAACTTCCCTTAGTTCTGGTATCTTTTAGCGAGTTTAAGTGCTAACACCGGCCACCTGGTACTTGTTTTTTCTTTGAGGGTCATTACTGAGGCAACACATACATAGTAAGTTTTCCGGTAAAGACTCCTTGTTATCAAGTTACTTCAAACATTAAGCACTCACACCTCCTATGCGGTATCACCCTGGGCCTGGTAGGTATTACACATGTAAGCAGTGATACATATACATTTCATAAATAGGAAAAATGTATATGTCTATAGTTTTTCTTACAGTTGTCTTCCCCAGGGACTTAAATAATTATATTTTCAGTGAATGGATAGGTGGGTGGTGGGAGGTAAAAGAAAAGAAGGAAAGAGTTTTTAATTCTTGAAAAAACTGCTGTAGTTGTTTTCCACTTAGCAAAATAGTTATTTGCAGTTAAGAACTGTACATAATATATATTTAAAGATTTTTGTGGTGCTTGTGGATTTTCCCCCTTGCTCATTTTAGTGTCTATTCTGTACCTTAAAAAGATTTCCAAATGACAATCAAAATCTAAATGCTTTAAGAGAACTTTTAGAAAGAAAACACTTCCTTGGCTTTATAATTCAAGGATATTAATACAAAAACATAAATGTACAGCAGGTATAAAAGATAAAATTGTTTACTAGATTTTGCATATGCAGTTCACATCCTGATCTCTTTTTCCTTTTGTTGGAGCATTAATTTGAAAATGATAAGCATTCTGGAATGTTTGCTACAAACACAAATTCATAGTAAAAATATACATGCATCTGCAAAATATCAAATGGAGAATACAAAGCTCCGAGGCAATCAGAATTGTTGAAAAGCCTCTGTCTAGACTACCTTTTGCTTGAACTACTATCTCATAGGTGAGGTAAATAATCTCTCTGGGGTTTTGTCATTTATGTAATAGAAACAAAAATAAAATACAAATATCTGCTTCCTTACTGCCTTTTCTTAATAACCGACAAGTGGCAGGGCTGGTACCTTTTAAACAGATGGATGCAAAAACTTGTGAGATCGAATAAACTGATGTACCCCATCAGGTATTTTGGGAGCCCAAATTTCATAATTAACTTTTTACCCAAGTGGTAAAAGTGGAAGATGTTCTCACTACTAAATTGATTATTTGATAGGCTCTTGTTCTTTCCTCCACAAGATTTTGGAGATCCAGAAAAGGAAAAGACATGATAAGAGAAGATGCATCCTGAACAACTTTTATTGTGAGTAGGAAAAAAATGGCATAGAGTAAGCATAAGAACAGTTGATTTAAAGAGATTAAAAGAGGAGAAAAGAGCAACACATCCAACTTAATTAGTCTTTTTCCTTTTAATTTTTTCATGTATATATATTGGGGGGATAGGGAGAAAAGATAACTGAATTTCTTTTGAAAGTCTTTGTGTCTTTATAGAGGGAATGTTCTGTTCCTGTCTTTTTCTTTTTAAGCGAAAAAACTAATAAAATAGAAAAACATATATCAGACATTAAGCTCACTCCCCCCACCCCTTCCCTTTGTAAAGAACTCTTTGTTCTCTAGTGAAAATGCTGAAAAATCCCCGGGCAGCTACTCCCTGAAACAAGTGCAAAACACTTAGAGGCTTTTGGGCTGGCTAGGAGCCAGGAACCCTCCCGCTGTCTGGTTAGAAGAGGAAAAAAAGAAGAGGGAGAGAGGGGAAGAGGGATGGGGGGGCAGAGAGAGAGGAAGAGGAGAGAGAGAGGGGGAGAGAGAGAGAGAGAGAGAGAGAGAGAGAGAGAGAGAGAGAGATTGAAGCTTCCTTTAAGAGACTTTGGAAGCAGCGTTTTTTTTCTTTTTCTTTTCCTTTTTTTCAAAACTGGCGGTCAAGCGTTAAGTAACTCCCGTCTAAATCCACCTGCTAGAAATGAACTTGGGTAACCCCCCAGGGGTGCACAAAGACAGGAAAGACAGTAACATACTGCATACTCTTTCCCACCCCCCCAGTTGTACTGCTTCCATTCTTTCTGCTCCCATACACAAATGCCCACAGCTTCTCACGCCGCCCCTCTTACCCCCCAACAACAAACACAGCAAAATACATGCTCCCTCAGTCTCCTAAAAAAAAGGCTTTTCCATCTCGGTTGCGACACAGTGATAAGGGGTAGCGAACATCTCATACCTGGTGTGAATGCTAATCAGTCAGGAGTTCTCCTTTTCCCAAGACAGGGAACTGTTTCCTTCCAAATTTATTAGAACCTCCTCCACTGCCTCTTTGAAAAACCTTCTTTGTCACCCTCTCCCAAGTCCCGATACTTCTTTAAAAAAAAAATGGCTTCGGAGCTCCTTCTATTCTTGATATTGATTCTCTCTCTCTCCCCCCACCCCTCCTCCTCTCTCCTGTCTGTGTCTCTTCTGAGTGGTCTATTGATAAGTCCCTGGAGGCACTGGGTCAGCCTGCCCGTAGGAAACCAGACACAATGCACAAATCTCCGAGTGCCATTCTGCCATCAGCAAGCAGACCACGTTTAGGAGAGAGAGAGAGGAAAAAAAAAAACAGTAGAGCAAGAGACAGAGAGAGAGAGAGACCAACCAAGGGAGGGAGAGAGAGACTGAGAGAGAGGAAGAGAGGAGAGGGGAGAGAGAGTGAGAGAGAGAGAGAGAGAGAGAGAGAGGGGAGGCACGGAAGGAGAGAGAGAGTGTGTGAGAAAAAGACTGATTGGAACAGGAGGGAGAGAGAGAAAGGGAGAGGGAGAGAGAGAGAGAGAGAGAGAGAGCGTGCGAGAGGGAGAGCGACACTGCCAGTCAGGTTAATCATCCCTACTTTAATTAGCTGTTCGGCTTAGACATAAAACAATTGAATTTGAATGATCTGTCAGCAGGCTCGGCTGAACCAAAGGGGAAAAGCGAATATTACAAAAAGACTGTTGGTGTGTTCTGATAAGCAATACTGCTCGTACTGACAATTCCTCAAAGGGGGAACTATTAAAACTTACAACTAAACAAAAAGTGAGAATACGAATGGCACTAGATTGAGGTCTTTTTTTTAAATGGAGTTTTCTCCCCTAGTTTTATGAACCGTAGATATTTATGTGCAGGTGCCAGCATATTAGGGGTTTGCGTGTAATGTGTGAAAGTTTATTAATGATGGTCTAGGAATGTAGCAGACAGATGCTGCAGGGAACAAGACAGGTAGAGTCGGATGCTGAATCTAGATCCTGGAGGGAGATGAATGCTGGAAAAAGAGGTACCATGGCAAGAGATCAGCACAGACAGTAGTGGGCAGACAGGCAGACAGATTTTAGGCACGGTATGATCTTGTCTAAGAAGGCAAAAGTTCTGATGCAATAATAGGTGCAAAACAATCCATCCATCCTCCTCTCCAGGGTGCACTCCAAGGTCCAGTTAAAATGGATTAATCTTTGTGACAAACAGAGCTGGCAAAGCAGACTATGGCACACACTGAAGGCGATTTGTAGACCTAGAGAATTGAGCGCTGGAAAAAGCCTTAGAGAGCAATCTCTTCAAGTCCAAATTCAGCAGAGGAGGAAACTGAGGCCCGGAGACTCAGAGCAATAAATCACAAAGGCAATACCAGCATCAGCATTAGAACCCAAGGCTGCAGCAGCCCACAGGCTGTTTCACATAGCAGTTAGGATTCTTTAAAGATTCTGGCCCAACAGGTATGGAAATCACTCTTGCCTCCAGAGTAATAAGATTCCTCCCTCTATGTAGTTAGTGCATGGACCTCCATTTCTTTCAAAACGTCTAAATAGTAAAGTGGAAAAATTTTTTGGTTCATTTTGATTGCTAGGGATAAGGGATTTAAGCCCTTAATTTATTCTGAGAGAAAAGCAGAAAAATATAACGTTGTAGAGGTCCAGTCTCAGTAATGTCTAGCTTGTGCCACATTTCCAAACTAACCAATGCCAGTGGATTGATCTACAAAGACCTCGCCCAGAGTTTACAATTCACTCTATGAACATCATCTGCTATATATCACCATGTAAGATGTGGACTTCTCACACAGCACATTTTTAAAATACAGTCACACTGTAGGTGAAATATAATTAAGTTTTTCAGTTTACAGTGTAGCTTTAAATCACCAAGTTTTTTCTACCTGAAGGATTAGCCATGGGCAACTTTTCTGATATATTTCAATTGAAAACAAGCTTCTAAAATAGAAAGGGGAAACTGTATTATCTACATATGAATTTGATGGTATCTTTTGGGGGACACATATGACTATATTCAGTCGGGAACTCCCACTTGACAACAAATAACTGAAGGTGCTTTTTTTTTTTTTTTAAAAAAAAGGGAAAAGGTGCTCATAAAAAGAACAGGGTCATCAGATATTACTGGAGAGATTAAGTCTCTTGTCTTAATCAAGAATCTTGGTGTATATAAAACAAAAACTATCTGTCAGTCATGCTTCAGCAACTACACTGGTACTTACAGTGAAAGAAGAAAACTGAAAGAAATGTCAGGCACCTGGGAGCCTACTCAAAGGCAAGTAGTCTGGGGGAAGACATAGCCAAAGTAATTTAGTTTATTTGCACACCATTCTCTTTAACAATGGGGCGGTGAGATACCTAAAACACATGGTCCACACTCAGTGAATCTGGAGGTAGGAGAGACAAAGCAGTGATTTTGAAATCGGCAGATCCTTTTGGAGTAAACACACCTTTATAGCATTGTATAAATCATAGCCACTCCCAGAGCATTAGTTTTCCTTGTCTGTTAAAGGTGGTAACACTGGTCTCATAAAGTTGTTTTGAGTCTGACATGAGCTAATATGTGTAAACTACATGGCTAGTCATTACATGGTAGCTACTGAGAAAAGCATAACATGAGGGTGTATATAAACAACATTGTAAATTACGGATGTACTGAGTGTGTTATATTCAAAGCTTGCCAGTTCAAGATACAAAATCATACAGCAGAGTACGAGTCTAATGTACAGACTTCTATTAGAAAGGTTTGGCACCAGACATTATAAAGTTTAGAACCCTACATTTCTAGAAACTAAACTTATAGGATGCTACATCATCTGAAGGTTTTATCTGTTTCTAAATTTGAGAATATTTCCTGGCCTGTAAAAACAATGGTAGCTAATATACTACTGAACACTTGATTAGTATAAGCACTCTACTAAGTGTTTTACATTTTAAAATCACACAGTGTCACGACAACCATACGAATTGGGTACTCCCAATAACCCATTTCATGGAAAAGAAAAATGAGATATATAAAGGTTATAAGATTTACTCAGGATTACACAGCCAGCAAATGTGCAAGTGGAGGTAAAATGCAGGCAATCTGACACTAAGGCCTGTATCATGAGTCATAGCACTATATTAGCACATAGTAGGTTTTCATTAAATATGTGTCGAGTAAATGAAGAAATCAATAAAACCAGTATTTTGATTTCATTAGAAATAATACAAATCTGTGTGCAATCACTTGAGAGAAGCTTGTGCTTGGATTATATAATCTGTACCTCTTACTTTAAGTGCAGCCTTCCTCAGAAGCCAGGGAGAGCCACGTCTCTGAATGGTATTGGAAATGGATGAAGTGAAGTCTGCTGACCATGACTACTCAGGGCATTTAAATATCTGACAGCATTCTCAGCACTTCGAGTATAGCGTTAGCACATGGGTTATTAATTGGCTTAATTCCAGTTTGGATAATTACATCGTGTCTCTTTCATTTTTCCCCCGACTCTGCTATTCTTTACTTCCTGTCACACATGTGCTCTTTCAGAAAGCATAAAAACACACAGACATATAGTTATATTTAAGGTTTCTCCAGTCATTTAGAGTGTTTCTTTCTCCCTAAATGATCAGTGTGTAGTAGCCATGTAATGAATGAATGAATGGGCAAAAGAAAGTCCTTACAAAATAAGGATAACTAGTCAAAGCTAAGATTTTCGCTTGGCATTGAAGTAAACAGATTTTTAAACCATTTCTTTGGTGACAGGATTCCAATCATATATATTTTTTCTCATGTGTAGATATTTCAAGAGCTGATGAGCTGCTTATGATAAACTAATTTTCTACTACGATGCAGTTCCAGTATAGAAAATACCAATGAAAACAGATCTTTTAGAGTAGAAAATAAGACTGTGTCCTGAATTGTCATAGCATATTGAACTCCTGGGTTTTAAAATAGTTATTAATCCAGTTATTAGACCCTAAATTACTTGGTAGGTTTTTCATCTCCAAACATATTACTAGAATAATCTCCAAATTATAAAAGAAAAGGATAAAG